CCTACTTAAAGTTTCTTAAAGACCATCTGGATGGGCCAGAAGAATACTGAAAGAATGATGTGTGGATAGATAAGGCAAAAATGGAGTTTTATGGCATAAATAAGAGATGTTATGTTTGGCAAAACCAAACACTGCATTCCAACATAAGAACCTCATCCCAACTGTGAAACACAGTGGTGGAAGTATCACAGTTTGGAGCTATTTTGCTGCTATTGGACCAGGATCAGCTTGCTATCATTTGGTGGAGCTATGAATTCTGGATTGTATCAAGAAATTCTACAGGAGATTGTTGGGGCTCCATCTGTGAACTGAACCTCAATAGAAGGTGGGTCCTGCAGAAAGACAATGACCCTAAAAACACCAGGTAGTCTACAAAGAGTGGCTCAAGCAGAGAAAATGATGCATTTTGAGTCAAAGCCCAGACCTTAATCCAATAGAAATGTTGAGGCAGGTGTGGCACTCATACAAGAAAGCCCACCAACAAAACAGAGTTTAAGCACTTCTGTGAGGCGGAACGAGCCAAGATTTCACCAAGTCAGTGTGTAGCACTGATCAACTGTTATAGGAGCCATGTGGTTGAAGTCATTCCTGCTCGAGGGGATCACACCAGTTCAGCAGAGGTTCACAAACTTTTGCCAACAAAGACATTTAACATTAGATTAACATTAAATAAAGGAAAAACTATATATTTTTGTGTTAATTGTTTCATTTGGTTTTCTTTAGCTATTTTTATGAGTCAAATGAAGATCTGATCATATTTTAGGTCACACATGTTTTAAAATTTATTAAATGAATTTAAAGCAGCTCTACACTTATGATGAGAAACATGAATAGGGTCCTGCTTCTGAAGGCTGTACAGCGATATCTGTAGTTTCCATGGATTGCTGTTGTGTAGTTTATCACAGTCTGGTTAATAAAAGGACTGTAGATAAAAACAAAATTCTGCTTTATGCAAAACAATATCAGCTCCTGTATATTCACTTTCATTGCAGTGAAAAACAACACTTTCTCAATGAGAAGCAGTTCTGCTGATTGTGTGAATAATACTTTTAAATACATCTGTAGAATCTGCAAGAAAAATGAAATTCTTTAATTTTCATTTGAGTGTAATTGTTTGCATGCAGTTTTATCAGTTATATCACTTTATCACTGATGCTGTTGAAGAATCGACAGAATAGGTGACTGTTTATTATTTTACATTAATTATAATACTTCCACTAAATGTAAATGCATTAAACTGAAATAATAATTCTGAATTTACATAAGTGACAGAATAAACTTGAACTGCATTAATCACAGTCTCAATAAAATCTCTATTCTCTGTGAAATATTTGAAAGTGAGCATCTCTAAATTGATTAATCACAGTGAGATTTAAGAAGTCAACTCTGTAAGAGAACTTACAAACTGTATATCTTCATCACTAGCCAGATAAAACACTTGAGTTTTTATTTATTTGCGTATTTATTTATTTATTTTCTTATATATCATTTTTTGCTTATTTTACAGTTTTGGGCTCCATTATTTGCACCTGTTTCTTTTTATAATTAAATGGAAATGTACCAACTTTTGTCATTACAGCATTTTAATGGATGTCTAAAGGTATTAAACAAAAAACATACTAAACATATTAAACTTACAAACAAAATATGACATGGACAGTATTAATGGCACCCTTTCCTAATATTTTGTTGCACAGCCTTTAGCAGCAGTGACAGCCCCGAAACATTTTTGGTAGCCACGTACAAATTTTTTGCACATGTCTGCTGGCAGTTTTTCCCACTCCACCATTGCAAACATTTCAAGCTCTTGGATGTTTGCAGGGTGTCTCTTCCCTATGGCAGATTTCAGCTCTCTCCAAAGATTTGCAATGGGGTTGAGATCAGGACAAACCTAGCTTCCTTACACTAGGTAGCACATTTTGCTCTAACATGCCTTGTTAAGCTTCCGATTTCGTTATTCCTTCAATTTGGTTGAGGCCTCCAGTACAACATTATGTATTCACAACATGTAGGGTCTTTGCTTGCTTATAAGCTTCATTTTATCTATTTTAAACAAATGGCTGGTCTGCATTGTCAAAGAGCTCAATTTTTTAGTTTTGTCTGTCTGACAAAACATTTGCCCAAAAGGACTGTGGTTTGCCTAGGTATGTTTTGGCAAAGATCAGTTGTGCCATCTTATGTCTTTCTTTCAGCAATGTCTTTGCCTTCACCCATGAAGTCCTTATTGATTTAGTGTGCGGCCTATGGTGCGAATTGAAACCATCTCTCCAGAGTGCTCCAGGTTTGCCTTAAGCTCTTTGGATGTTACACACTTTTTTACAGTGCACAGCAACCTTCGAAGACTTTTCTCACTGATTTTCCTCTTTGACCCATGTCCTAGGAAGTTCTTGACAGTTCCCTAAGCAATAAACTTCTTAATTATGTTATGCATTGTTGAAACAGGAATGTCAAAGACTTTGAAGATGAATTTGCAGACTGGTTCCAATCTTGCCTTTGTCATAAGACTTTTTCAGTCAATGTGAGCAATTGTTTTTCATCTGTTGCCACTATTAATTATGGTGTCCCCCAGAGCTCTAAATTTGGGCCTGTCCACTTGTCAATGTAATATTGGTTACTATCATTCGGAAGCATACAATGTCATTTCATTGTTATGTTAATGAAACACAACTTTATCTCCCTCTTAAGTCCAGCAACATGTGTTCATTCAAGTGTGTAAAGTGAGTGTTTAAGGATATTAAAAGCTGGATGGCCAACAACTTTTTATAACTCAACAGCTCAATGAACAGAAAACCAATATTATTGTTTTTGGCCTTTCTAAACACAGTATGAACATATTAAATCATCTAGGAGCTCTCTCACCATATGTAAAGCCATATGTTAAGAATCTTGGTATCATTTTTATGTGGATGCCCTACCTAATTACTGAGTTCAGGTGTTTCAGCTACACTCATTGCTAACAGACGGCCATGCAAATATCAATAGACAAGCACGGTCAATAGAATGTGTTATACTAAAGAGCTCACCACATGGCACTGTCATAGGACGCCATCTTTGCCACAAATTAGCTCATGAAATTTCTGCTCTGCTAAATCAGCCTTAGTCAACTATAAGCGTTATTACTGTAAAATGTAAGTGTCTAAAAGCAACAACAGCTCAACCACGAAGCGGGAGGCCACACAAACTCACAGAGTGGGGCCGTTAAGTGCTGAAGCACATAGCAGAGGCAAAGTCATCACAAGAACTGTGCTTTGGGAATGTCATGGGTTGTATTCACAGTCTTTGATAGTATATTTTAAATGTAGCACTACTGGTTCTTTTTTCTCAGTTTCAACTGATCAGATGTCTAAAAAAATAAATATCATGTGTCATGAAAATTTCTTGAAGTATTGAGATAGTTTTGCAATATTGCCCACCCCTAACGTCAATTGCAAGCCAGGCCTTCTGGCTTTTTTAACCTACATTCTGCAATGTACACTTTAAACAAGGTTTACTGTGCTACATGAAACTGACCACTGTCAGAGTACATTAATGAATGTTTAATTGCAATGTTAAATTACTGTAATACCTTACTCTATTTTTAGAATGCAGACAGATTGCTCTCAGCTAAAACAAACATTACTAAAAGATTATTTATGCATTACAGTGCTCGTGCTGTTATTAATTAACAAAGAAATACATTTCCATTGAAAGACAAAGCATCAGTTACCAAACAGTTAGAAACACAGCAAATCATTCACATCTGAACAGTACCTGCATTTGTTTCTTATTCTATTTGAATTTTGAACTAAAAGCAAATGCAATGAACCAATATCAGACTGAACAAAATCTATGAATTCATATATTTTATAGAATATCTACAGCATAGAAATATCTGCATGCTCAGAAACATTTGCATTCTTGGCTCAGATTCTTCATAGTTTTTGACTATTCACAATTCATTGTCTCCTAAATGTCTAATTATCAAACCTAAATCATTGACATTAATTTGAAAGCCAGCTTCGGGACATTACACACTGGAAAGGTGAAAAGGTGACAGTGCCAGACACATGACTGACATAAAAAGAATAAAACCAACAAATGAATGTGAAATGAATTCCTCCACAAGTTAGAAGAAAGATGATAACACAGGAACCCAGATACAACATTGTAGTCACTGTAATAACCGTCTTGTTCCTCCGAGTAATGAAATAAATGTGTGTCTCTTATTCTCTCAGTGCTGTGTAAGATTAGACATCTGCTGAAGTTTTGACAGATACACTAGAGAGTGGAGATGGAGGAAGTGGCTTTCTAAGAGCTGAACATCAGACCACAAGCCCTCAGAGTCAGAAAGGAGGTGAAAAACTATTTTCTAAACCCCTGTGGGTTTCCACCCACAGTCCAAAAACATGCAGTCAGGCCAATTGGATATGCCAAATTGCCCCTAGGTGTGTGTGTGAATATGTGTCTGTCTGCCCTGTGATGGACTGGAGACCTATGCTGCCTTCTGGCCAATGACCACTGGGATAGGCTCCAGCACCCCCCACAACTCAGAATGATAAGCGGCTTAGGAAGTGTGGGTGTGTGTCTATGTTACTTGCACAGCTGAAGAATGCTGACCTCTCTCACTGTTAGTTGGCTCGCTCACTCACCTACAACAACCACCGCCCTCAGAGCCTAGCCCCGCCCTTCAAAATACAACATTGCTAACATTTCTATCCATCTATCTATCCATAGGAGGTAGATAGATAGTCCCACTACATATATGGAACAAGTGTTTAAATGAAACTTCTGTAAATTCTTGTAAGATCCAGCTATGGATAAGAGCAGTACTTCATTGACAGTCTAATAGCCCAGTTATTTACTTACACATGACTTAAACATGACTACACGTATATCACTTATGATTTGTCTTTTTCACTATTTATTTATTTATTTATTTTACAGGGAGAACACTGATAGACATTTTTATATAAAATGCAGCAAATGTATATAGAGCTTCTAGTTAAAACTAATGTTGGTTTATAAAAGGAAATAAGACAGTTAACACAACAGATGCAGCAAAAAATAAATAAATAAATAAAATAGGCATATTTGTGAGTATGCGCCCATGTGGATATTTGTACATAGATTTGTGCTTCTATTGTAAAAACCTTAAACTCATTTCAGTTTTCATAAAACAATTAATTACCATCAGAACTTTGTGATCTCAAACATACAATCTTCTTCAACAGCTACAATTTTTATCCAGTTATTCCGTGAATTCATTTCTGAGACATACTGACAGGCAAACAGCCACCAGACCGTCAGTTTGTGTCTCAGAAATGTGTGAAACTTTTTTCCCCAGTATGGCGAGGTGGTGAGAAAAGTGTCTGTAGATGCTGGTAAAGCTCTCAAGTGGCAACTCCGTAGCTGTGTATGGCATCTTCATTTTCGCTTGTCTTGGTATAGACCTGTGAAACAGACAGAGAACTGAGACCGTCATGCAGAAAAAGAGGAAAACAGCACATTGTGACCTTATCATGTGCGGTAATTATTGCATTAGGCATTGTGAATGAAGTGGTGGGATTAGTGCAGGGGGAATTGAAGCACTCATGTTGGTCTTGGTTAGAAACTTACACAGGAAGTCAGCGTGTCTGTGTGAAGGTGAAAAGTCTGAAGTGCCTTTGCCTGAGAGCACAGACAGATTAGATAAAAGAGAAAAACAGTGATAATGTATAACACTGTGTGTTATTTGTTAAATCCACTATCCCCAAAAGTTTGTAGATGCCTGCTAATTCAACATTTCTTCTGAAATCAAAGGTATTACAGGGAGTTTGTTCTCTCTTTGGATGACCTGGATCACAAATGCCACTCTAACTCATCCCAAAGCTTTTGGGAGGAGCTCCAGTTCGCAGTTCTACTGCTGCACAGTGCAACCCCTCTAGCTGACATTTGGCATTGTGCATGGTGACCTTACACTTGTGTGCATCTGCTCCAATGCATCTTATGCTATTGGCAATGCTTTTCTTCTGAGATTACCCAAGCTGTGTGTGTACAGAAAGCCTGTGTCAACAAGGTTTCTGCCTTAAAGAGCCCATATCCTATATATAGCCTCACTGAAAAAAAGAAAAAAATGAAACATTATTGATGTTTCATTTGATAATCATTTATACATTTTAGTCAATTATCTATTAATAGTAATTTCTTCACAGAGTGTCTGCATCGACATTTAATGACCACTTTTCAAACAACAACAAGACATTGTAGATGCTAAATTTATTAGAACTTCATTATACAGCTTTCTCAACCACAATTCTGCATTAAACTAATAGCTTCCTAAAATATCTTTGAAACCAATCATGTTCCAGAGTACTTCCATCATATTAGAATCATTTTATACATGTATCTGCACAGAATAAGTTTAATGTAACAAAAACAATAGTTCTTGTAATATATATATATATATATAAAATACATATTTTAAGTATGTTTGAGAAAGAACTCACATGATCATCCCTTGTTCCACTAGTATCAGCGACCTGTTTCTTTTTCCATTTCCTGAAACAGAAATCATAAGCTGTATGTTTCCTCTTGCAGTGTAAAACAAATTCCCCAAACAAGTTTCCAGCCAGTGGAGCTGATAAGGCTTATCACTGACAGTTGTAAGTCTGTGATAATGCCAATTTATTTAACTCCTGCTTAAAACTGTTGGAAAATGCATTTTCCTGTAGACACAAGTCTAGTGTTACTTGTAGCTAATAGAACTAAACTAAAGAAGCTAAATTTGGACATCAAACATCAACTACATCTAGGGTAAGTGGACAATTGTGTAAATTTGATTTTTTTGGCAATCCATTCTTTCAAGAGTGTGGACATGCTGACCTTTAACACTGCACATGAGTTGATCATGCTTTATGTATACTAGGGGCCAGCAACCTAAATGTTAAGAAGAGCCAAACTGTCCTTTCAACAAAAATCAAACCACATTGGGATCCGCAACATTTTATGCTCAGTTTACCATCTTGGCTGTACAAACCGGATTCCAAAAAAGTTGGGACACTAAACAAATTGTGAATAAAAACTGAATGCAATGATGTGGAGGTGCCAACATCTAATATTTTATTCAGAATAGAACACAAATCACAGATCAAAAGTTTAAACTGAGAGAATGTATCATTTTAAGGGAAAAATATGTTGTTTCAAAATTTCATGGCGTCAACAAATCCCAAAAAAGTTGGGACAAGTAGCAATAAGTGGCTGGAAAAAGGAAATTGAGCATATAACGAACAGCTGGAAGACCAATTAACACTAATTAGGTCAATTGACAACATGATCGGGTATAAAAAGAGCTTCTCAGAGTGTCAGTGTCTCTCTGAAGCCAAGATGGTAAGAGGATCACCAATTCCACCATTGTTGCGCAGAAAGATAGTGCAGCAATACCAGAATGGTGTTACCCGGCGTAAAATAGCAAAGACCTTTAAGTTATCATCATCAACCGTGCATAACATCATCAAAAGATTCAAAGAATCTGGAACAATCGCTGTGCGTAAGGGTCAAGGCCGTAAAACTCTACTGGATGCTCGTGATCTCCGGGCCCTTAAACGTCACTGCACCTCAAACAGGAATGCCACTGTCAAGGAAATAACAGAATGGGCTCAGGAATACTTCCAGAAAGCATTGTCAGTGAACACAATCCACCACGCCATCCGCCATTGCCAGCTGAAACTCTACAGTGCAAAGAGGAAGCCATTTCTAAGCAAGCTCCACAAGCTCAGACGTTTGCACTGGGCCAGGGGTCTTTTAAAATGGAGTGTGGCAAAATGGAAGACTGTTCTGTGGTCAGATGAGTCACGATTTGAAGTTCTTTATGGAACACTGGGACGCCATGTCATCCGGACCAGAGAGGACAAGGATAACCCAAGTTGTTATCAACGCTCCGTTCAGAAGCCTGCATCACTGATGGTATGGGGTTGCATGAGTGCTTGTGGCATGGGCAGCTTGCATGTCTGGAAAGGCACCATTAATGCAGAGAACTATGTTCAGGTTCTAGAACAACATATGCTCCCATCTAGACGTCATCTCTTTCAGGGAAGACCCTGCATTTTTCAACAAGATAATGCCAGACCACATTCTGCAGCAATCACAACATCATGGCTACGTAGGAGAAGGATCCGGGTACTGAAATGGCCAGCCTGCAGTCCAGATCTTTCACCTATAGAACATTTGGCGCATCATAAAGAGGAAGGTGCGACAAAGAAGGCCCAAGACGATTGAACAGTTAGAGGCCTGTATTAGACATGAATGGGAGAGCATTCCTATTTCTAAACTTGAGAAACTGGTCTCCTCTGTCCCCAGACGTCTGTTGAGTGTTGTAAGAAGAAGGGGGGATGCCACACAGTGGTAAAAATGGCCTTGTCCCAACTTTTTTGGGATTTGTTGACGCCATGAAATTTTGAAACAACATATTTTTCCCTTAAAATGATACATTCTCTCAGTTTAAACTTTTGATCTGTGATTTGTGTTCTATTCTGAATAAAATATTAGATGTTGGCACCTCCACATCATTGCATTCAGTTTTTATTCACAATTTGTTTAGTGTCCCAACTTTTTTGGAATCCGGTTTGTAAATATGTCTCAGCATGTGCTAACGCCCTAGTATTGGCTAAAACTGGCTTTGAGCTTTAGCTCATCTATATCCGCTTTTCTCACATCACTGGCAGGAAACTTTTACACAAAACTATAATACATCCTTGTAAAATGTCTCTTAATGTCACCTTCTCATTCTCCAGCTTCTTGGATGTTCCCATTCCACCTTAAATGGTGCCTGAGGCACCAGAATATAACTGCTGCACCATTTAAGGTGGAACGGGAAAATTCGAACAAGAGGCTGGCAAAAAAAAAAAAGCTGACTTCAGCTTCATTCAGAGCTGAAATGCATGAAAAAGGGATGAGTCGGTTGCTCCTGCTGACAGGTGGGAAACATTAACTAATTTTTGCTGTATCACAGAATCAATAATTCTGTATTGTTTTGTTGCACTTGTGAATGTTTGTGATAGCAACGGAATAGCTTCACAGGAGCAACTGTAGCGACAGTTTCCCAGCCCACAACCTAGCTAACATTAGTTCCATTACTTGCTGTGTCATTGTTCACTTTAACGTTATTGTAGTGTACATCCACGAATTTGGGGGTGGAGTTTCTGAAGGTGCACTGAAGGGAGAGTTGTGTTTGTTTTGCTGTTGAGTTCATATATCAACAATCATTCTCCATAGTTGTATAGTACTCCTTGAAGACTTCTCTTTGCCTTTTCGTTAGCTGCTAGCTAAATGAGATTGTTGCCTGTGTTGCTATGGTGGCCAGCAGTCTGCGTGCCAACCTCCAGGGTTAAAGCGTGAATTAGCAGTTATACATTAACTCCACCTGTTAAAACTGTGTTAGCACGATCAGCAGAACTTTGTTTTACTGCAAAGGAGGATTATTTTATTTTTACACAAAAATCAAATTTTGCTGTACAGCTGCAACAGGGCAGTAAAAGGGCCGCATATTGCTGACCCTTGTGTAGATTAATGAATTGTAGACTATTGTAGACTATTGAATGTGCCCTGATAATACTTTGAAAAAACTTCCATGAATTAAAATAATAATAAAAAAGATAAAAAACATATCCTGACCTTTGAGATTTGAAACAGGAACTTTGAAAGACTAAACAAAAATGTAGGTTTTTTTTCTCTTAGAAATCTAATTGAGTAAAAAAAGAACAAGCATTTGATTTCAATAATACTCACGTAAAGTACAAATTCTTCCTAAATAATACTAATATGTATCAATGAAGTACAAATACTTAAGTATTTATGACTCCTGGCAGGAGTTAGAAAATGAGAGGAATGTTTTCTATGTGTAGTCATAAAAATAATAAAAAACTTTTTAGAACCCATGAAAAGGTCACTTTGCAGTTACTGGTCACTCACCTATGAATCCACACAGTGCAGAAGACAAAGCACACTGCAACAGCTCCTGCAACAGCAGGGATGATGTAGAGAAACATTTCTCTGCACAGCTCTGGTTCACTCTCAGAAACTGGAAAAAGAATCAGGTAAAATAACTGGCATTCCTAAAGATTAAATAAATAAATAAATAAAATCACCCAATCAATCAAAAGACACTGCCATTAATAGGTAATTACCTTCTATGGTCAGTATCCATTGTTCTTGTGCTACTGATGGGAAACATGTATAGTTTCCTGCGTCTGAAGGCTGTACATCAGATATCTGTAGTTTCCGTGGATTGTTGGGATCGACATACATTCTGCTTGATGTGTAGTTTGTCACAGTTTGGTTAATAACAGGGCTGTAGTTAAAAAGAAGAAGAATCTCCTCCTTACGCCATCCGACATCAAGTCCTTCAGCTCCTTTATATCCACTTACATTACAGTGAAAAACAACAGTTTCTCCCTGAGAAGCAGTTCTGCTGATTGTGTGAATATTTTTATTAAATGCATCAGTAGAATCTGCAGAAAGAACAGAAGTTTTCTTCAGTATTTATGTGAGTAATAAGAGCATGCGTGTAGTTTTATCAGTTGTCAGCTATTGTCATTTATGCTGTTAAAATACTGCTATGGAATTGAAACGGACGTGGCAGTTTCTTGTTTTACAAAAATTACAACAACATACAACATTAAATGTCAATAAATTTGAATTCACACCAGACTGAACAAAGAATCCTGAAATCACAAACCTAATAGATAAAAACTGAATTGAATTAATCACACTCTAAAACATCTCTGTTCTTAGTTCATGACCTCAATGTATCCTTTATTTTTTTTTAAAGTGAGCATCCTAAATTTATTGATTACCTTACATTTATTAAAAGGTCAACGTTGTGATAAACCTCACAGATGATACTGATGTTTATTTATCTATCTGTTTTGCTTATTTTATGTCATATGATTTTGTAACGAGGCCGAATAACTCAGGCGCTCGCGGTTAAAAAAAGGGAGTGAGGCTTTAATGTTTGAGTCGTAATCCAAAATCGTGGTCAAAAAAAAGGCAAAGGTCAAATCCAGCAAAGGCAAGAAACACAAAAAGACAAACATAACCCGGCGAATTAAGTCCAAAGGGCAAGAGTCAAAAACCGGAAAGATCACAGAAGACAAAATACCGCTCAGTAGCTCTTGAATAAGAAGCATTACCTCGCATCGAACTAGACTAAAAAGCCCGGGCTTCATACTAAACTACTTATGTCAGAACAGGTGTAACCAGTCAATACTCAGGCGACAGAGAGCGGTGATTGGAGCAAGATGGAGGACTGAGAACCATGTGATCCCCTGGGGATTCTGGGACATGGAGCCCCTAGAGACCTCTGAGCCTGAGGGATGCGTGACAGATTTGCATAAAATGCCATGTTTGATGCTCTCTGTTACAGTTAGTGACTCACAGTATATACTGTGTACATGAATAATCATAGAAAATAATGTGGCCATAAAAGTGTATTAATAAAAGTAATCAGCACTTGTCTTAGTGATTGAACTTAAAGCAATATTAAATTACTGCATTTTGCATCCTGTATAAATTCTAGATTTTGCAGCAATATTACAGTGAATAATAGATATTTGAAGAGCTGATTCTCACACATATTAACACAACAGTGACATGATACTTTTTGCACTGACAAAAAGAGTTGCACATGTAGACATCGTGCCTGCATAAAATCTGTTTAAAAACACAAATTAGATAAAACCTGTTTTGTTCGAAAATCAATGTTTTGTTCTGCTGATTTGAAATAGGGTGGGTTCAGGTAAAAATGAGACAATGTGCTGCTCGAAATGAGATGCATAGGTGGTACACACTGAATGATAAAGGCATTGTTTTATTCTGTTTAATTATTGGAATTTTCTCCTTGCTTTTTCAGAAAGCATCAGCTAAAATATGAGTTAACAGGAGTTTATTAATGTGTCCCAAAATACCTGAATCTACCATAATTTCCAGGAGAAGTTTCCTGGATATAAACATTTTTCAGTTGATCACACTGATTAAGACATTTTTCATATTTACAAGTTTAGTCCACATTTTTCAATGTACACTTTAAACAATGTTTATTCTACTACATGAAACTGACCACTATCTGAGTGGTCTGGATTTGAAATAATGATGTTACATTGTTGCAATACCATACCAATTTAACCTACCTTTAGTTTACAGACAGATTGCTATCAGTTGGAACAAACACATTACTAAAACGTCATCTAGGCTTCGCAGTGATCAGGCAAAGGTACTAATAAAAATAAATACATTTCCAGACAAAGACAAAGGACAAGTTGTCTAACTGTGGGAAATATGGCAAATCATTTGTCTCATTATTGGAACAGTACCTGCACACTGTAGCATGATGAAAATCAGGAGCAGTAACCTGGTCTGAGGAGCCGCCATCATGATAACAGAGCTGGTGGGAATGAAGACGAGGCTCATTCACTCTGCACTGAAAGAGGAAGAGGATGTCCAGTAAATATGTTCTCTTCAGAGAGGAGGAAGTGAAAGAGGTCCCTCAACCCCGTTTCATGTAACAAAGATTTCAATTATTAACATTATATTTTTTATTGTTTTTACAATTATTAAATCATTTATAAATTATTTGCAGAGTATTATTATGCAAATCACATTTCAAAGTCAGGACACACAGACGCGTACCATGACTTTTAACCAGACCTATTTACTGCTCATGCCCCAGCCAACCGTGCACTGCTGTAGCGCCTACACTGCAGCTACAACAGACTACTCTGGACTATTACAGCAGCAGTTCAGCAAGAGTGTTTGATCAGTTAAGACAAAAATGTAGCACTGTACATGAGATGAGGATTTAAAGTTTACCGTTAAACTACAGATATGTGCAAAAGCATTGCCACCCCGGTTCAATAACATTTTGTTGATTTTCAAAAATTTTTTCTGTAAATTTTAGTGTTAAGTTTCTGTTTATTTTCTGAATTTAACATATTAGAAAAATGAAAAAGAAAAACATATAAATGCATTTATTTTCCCCAATCTGTTAAATTCAGCAAATAAACACTTGTAGTATTTTAATGAATATATTACTACTATAATCAATAAGAAATCCATAATCATATGCTTAAAAAGTTGATTAAGAAAGTGTATTAATCCTCTCACTAAGGATAGGCCTGGCTGTGTGTAAGTTAGGGGATTTTGTATTGGAGAGTCCCTGAAGTTCAGAAGCATCTAGAAGCCAGTGTACTTTGTTGTAAGGGCAAGCTGACCCCCAAAGAGTGAGGTAAGCTGATAAGGAACAAGTCACAATCAGTTTTGGAACCAGTTTAATAAGACAAGAACTAATTAATAGCTTTGAAAGGATGGGGGCAGCTTGGGATAGCCAAGCATGGAAAGTTTTAAAAAATCAAGGTCAGGTGCGGTTGGAAATAAGGGTTTCCAACTGAAGTGTAGAATCAGGAAATAATGGGAATCAAAATGGTATGGGGCAATGTGAGAGGGAGGGGGCAATTTCTTCATTGCCCCCAAACAGGATATAAAAAAAAATGTTTCTGTAATGTACTTTGCATTTGGTTGTCTGGAAGCCATCTTGCCACCTGAAGCTCAATAAAAGAAGAGGGCCTTTTCCTTCCTTCAAAAGAACTCAACGGCTGAAGTCTTTTATTCAACTTTCTTTTATTTTTGACTGAACTTTATTTTATTTTTGCGTTTATGACAAGAACAAGCAGTCAGATTTATTAAAGAACTGAAACATAGTTATAGAACAGATTAGTGATTGTCCATATGTTGGGGCTCTGAGTAAGTGGGAATTGCACTTAGTCCCGACACACTTAAACGTGCAGAGGTGTGTTCTCTGTAGAGGACTGATAATCAAAATGTGTCATTTGCCCAAAACCTTTGCACATAACTACATGTGGAAAACAAATATTTCCCATTAATTTCTTATTTGTTGTTTGGATTCTTTAAAACTATACTACACACAAATGGCAGTAGTATGTAATATGCAATAATCTTACTTGATGCAAATTCAGAAAACACTGAATTAACTGGATTGAGTTAAGTTAGTTAAAATAATTGATGTACACACTGTAGTGTGTTCTTACTTGTAAATAAACATCATATCACAAGAATAAATGCTAATATAAATACAGGAAAAAAACAGGTCTTTGAAAACTGTAGTTGATATCTTATGAGTTAGTTTGGAGAATACATTTTTAACCCAGATTTCTCCTGGGTGCCTTACTCAGATTTGAGTGCTTTTCTAAGCAAATAAATGCTCACTGGCCAGATAAATAGCTTTTTAAATCTAATTTTCTCATTTCTCATTTTCACACATACATTATACACAGGTATATGTTATAAGTGTACAGTGAAACCTAAAACTAATGCTAATTCCATCATGCAATGCATTATTCAGTAGAAGTGCAGGGTAAAATATACAACACAATAAAATACAACAGATAGCAGAAGCATTCAGTGTGGTTCTCAGGACAGCAGTACGACACCAAACAGGAAGCTAAACTGTGTCTCAAAGTAAAGCTGAAAGTAAAAAGCTGAGTCATAGAGCAAATAAAGTGATTCATAATTGATACAAATGGACAAAATATTCTGAAGGCCTAAGTGGTTCATATCATAGGAAGCCAAATGAGTTTGATGTAGTACGTACACATCGCTAAGATTTCAAAACAAAACAGCTAGTTTTTAACTCACTGTTTTTGTGATGTCATGAAAATCAACCAGCAGTTTAGCTCCACCCATTTACACTGAGGTTATAAGAAGTGTTTCAGGCCAAACTGCTTTTTCAATGAACCACAATATTGGGCAGCCAATGAGAGCAGAGATCATTTACATATGTCAGTCCTAAAGGCAGAGTAACAAAAGCAGCCTGTTTCATTCTAAAGGATAAAGATATGTTGGAAAATAGTCATGTAAAAAGGAATTACGACTGTTCTGGCACATCAAACTACACAAACCTTAGAAGAATCTGATGGCAGTAAAAGAATGATAAAATAAGAATAACGACATAATAAACAAATGAGAACAATGAAACAATGAAAAAATAAATTACAAGGAAAATGTAGTATATGGGCCTTTAAAAACAAAAACAAAATTTACCAGCTGCCTGTGACTCAATTAATCTGTGTTACGTCATGGTGAAACTTTCTTTCTGGAGGGACAAAATAAATGTAACTTTTTGAATCATCTGCAGTCTGTGGACAGAGAAGCCTCTCTTTCTCTGTGACTTTTCTAATCCCCTACACTAATGTTCTCAGTTGCTCTCTTCAGAATACAGTTTAAATGGAAATTCCACAAACTGTTCAAAATGTCTGCATAATTAAATGGTTAAACTGATTAAACAAGTAGAGTTAGATGTGCTTCGGCTTGTTTGGAGTGAAAACCTGCGGCCACACCAGCCCTTTGTGGATATGAAGGTGTAGACAAAGTCAGTCAGCTTGGTTTGGTCTGAAATGTTCTATTTCAGAGAATCTTACTGAGTCAGAACTGCTCACAATAGTAGTAATAGGAACCTGACATCTGAAGAGTTTAATTCCTCAAAAAGCTCTTTCATAGAAAGTTATTACCTGAAATGATTACGAATATGTTCCTGATGCCTGAGGCATTGTTTTGCAAAAAGCTTAAAATTTACTTTTTAGATTCATTCATTTATTCATTTTTCAATTCATTCATGTTGCAGAGGCACACACAGTGCTTTGTAAGGCAAAATAGTACCCAGTGAACACTTTTTTCAGATTTAATCCTACTTTATCATCATCAACATTACACATAAAAATTCAGAAGACACTTGTAGGTTCACTTGTTGTTTTGGATAGTAAACAATGGCTATATGGCTGGTAATTTAGACATCATGATCCCTGGGTGAGTTGCTAAGTTTCTCTACAATTAACTGTTGTCAAACAAAATTGAAATGTCAATGAAAATTGTAACGTCAGAGGCATACGAGTGTGAAATAGCTTTACTGGGAGCAGTCCAACATTCATAAACACAACAGGCAGCCTCAGTTGTGGTTGCCACCCCAGGAGATGCAGCTAGAGGAGCCACCAATGAGCCACCACAGGCATGGTAACTCAGGGTGGCATGATGAGAGCAGGCATCAATAGGCCAGTGCTACACTGTAAAAAATTGTTGTAAATTTACAGTAAATTTTCAACAGCAAAATACTGTAATTCTATTTTACAGTATTTTAGAGTTTTAAGCAATGCATTGTGGGATATGCCTGCTTTTCAATGGACGATTCAGGGGAGACCAATTATATAAAACGTATATATATATATATATAGGGGTGAGGGAAAAAACAATTCTTCGACGTGAGACGTGAACGATTCTAAATCGATTCGCAAATGTCAGAAATCAATTTTCTAAATATTTAATTTATAACGTAAGGTTGACGGAACGCAAAGGGCAGAACTTGAAAGCGGGTAAGTGCAGCGCCCGGACACTCTTGTGATGTGCACATAACAAAAACACAACTGGATGAGTGAGAAATCCGACCGGCCCCCTCTGCCAGGTTAGGTTAGGAGTCACAACAAATGATAAGAAGAGCCGTTTTGTCCTTTCAACAAAGTCAAACCACCTCGGGAGCCGCAACATTTAATGTCCAGTAACGTTATGTCTCAGTATGTGATAATGTCCTAATATAGGCTAAAAATATGAACGAGAGCGCAGACTTACTTTGCTCTGCTTTAAGCTTTAGCTCAGCTACAGCCGCTCTCCTCCCATCTACACCAGAAACGTTTCCTTAAAAAAAACAAATCAGAGGAGTACTGAGTTAGGCAGCCTACGGACAGCAATTATATATATATATATATATATATATATATATATATATATATATATATATTTATTAGGGGTGGGAATCTGTAGGCACCTCATGATTCGATTCGATTACGATTCAGAGGGCTGCGATGCGATTATAAAACGATTATCAGATTATTTGAAAGATTTTTTTTTCTATAAAGGATTTCTATTTTCTCACTGTGTGACGACTTGGTAGTTTTAAAGCAAAGTATTTGTAATGATCCATAATGCATTTACATCCAATATCTTTTATTAATAAATCAAATGGAAGTGATGTGGCAAGTGAACTAGAAGGCTCTCATTCACTGCTGTTTGGAGCACATGAGACGCTGCTGCTACTCATCTGCGATAAAATGCGCTGTTACGGTGACATAAGATCCAGTGGTCATGGGTGTTCACACAGCACATTACAGCTATTCTACTCATTTTCTTTAGTGATTTTGTAACTTTGATTTCGGTCTCGTTGTAGATAGTGGGGGTGGGGGTAGATCGCTGTGTCAGTAAAATATCTGTGAGACCGAACGTGCCCAACATAGCACGAAAGCCCTGGTTCTCAGCGACTGAGAATTGGCGTGCAGACTGCAGGTTACATAGCAACAAAGTCTTGCCTGGCTAGTAGCGAACAAAAACGGCACAGATTTAAGATGAACA